CAGGGCTAAATCGACTCAGCTCGTCGCCCTGATCAAGAATATATATACTTTGTGTTTCTGCCACGCCTCCTTCTGCCTGTTACATACATTTTAACATAACCATTATGATTTCCCATTTTCAATGGGTTCAGGGTATAAAAATTGAAGTCTCTAGCTCTTATATCTTCTGAAATCAACGCGTTCAAACATACGGACAGAAGGACAGACGGACGGACGGACATCGGACATCGGACAGACACACAGACGGATAGGGCTAAATCGACTCAGCTCGTCGCCCTGATCAAGAACATATATACTTTTTGAGGTCTGTCACGCCTTCTTCTGCCTGTTACATACAATTTAACAAAATCATTATACCCTGATTTCCCATTTTCAATGGGTTTAGGATATAAAAACATGTAACATGTATGTACAGTCAGTCACAGAAGTATTCGTCTCTTCAACTTTTTCTCTTAAATCTAGATGCTAAGACTAATCCTACTTAGTATGCACGCAGTATGTTTTGGATCGTTGTCTTCCTGGAAAATGAAGTCCTCATTTTGTATACCCATTTTATCAGCTCTGCAGAGCAGGTTCTTTTAGGAAAATTTATAATACCATCGATAAATATCAAGTTGCCAACGTCATACGCTTATTTAATTAGCACAGCAATTTATTCATCTTTTTTTTTTCGACTTTAAAAAATTTTAAGTTCCCATCGATTTGAAATACCTACATACACACATAAATTGAGATTTAATTAAAAGAAATTCTTTCATTGCTCATAACAATTGCATGAGCCTGGCGAACTGTTCGAAAAGAATACCTCTGGAACGTTAGAGCGGAGGGCGCTTGACTGCGTTACTTAACCTCCACATTCAGAATTTATTGCTAATGAAAATTTGTAACACGAACTCATAAATCCATGGATGAGGGCTTGTTACTGGACATTGGCAAAATGCCGCCGAGGGTCCGGATGAGATGCAACAGCGAGGAGCGCTTGGAACGCACCTCCTGCACGGAGACGAGCAGTGTGCTGGTAGCATAGCCGCAGCGAGTAATATAGTCAGCCAGGTTGTCGGCCATGCACATGAAATGGAGGCCGGAGTCGTGATCGTGATCAGTACCCTGCTGCAGGCAGCGGCCCAGTGTGAGTGAGAAGTCCTCGGCGCTCAGTGTGTCCCGCAGATGCTCGATGACCGTATGCGCCAGCTTCAAATTGCGGTTATCCTCAGAATCGAAATAGTAAAACTTGCGATCAGGTCGCGCCATCAAAAGCAGCGACCAGTGTGACCCATCAACCAGAGGCACAAAGACGAACAGCTTGCTATCCAATTGCAACCCTTGTGCAAGGCGCCGGCGTTCACGACCCTTCAGATGGCGCATGCTGTAGGCCATCGAGGGAGTCAGGAAGTGCAGCTCAGATTGCGCCTTGTAGCGTCGGCTCTGCAAATATGCACAGTAGAAGCCGATCACGTGCTCATTCAGCGCATACGGTCCCCGCAGTAGCTGAACGTCCGAGTGGCGCAGTGATATCTCCTGAAATCGCAACGCAACACTCGGCTTACCCGAAACATCGTTATTCAGTTGACACTTGCGCACGTAGTCGGCATCGCCACTTGGCTTTGCCACCCGCAGGCGACTAGGTGAACTTTCTGGTTTCTTAGTCGTCTTTTTTTGTATTTTCTTTTTGCTCTTGGACATCTTGGCTTTGTGTGATCCAAGCTCAGAACATGTTATGTTTTGTAACAATGTGTATGTCAATTTCTGTATATGTCTGCCAACGACAGAGTCCACAATGTGAGTGAAGTCAAATTCCTACAAAATCACAGACATACGTACAGCGCAGAACCTACTCGATCTCTGATCAACTACAGCTAAGTTAACTAGTTATGCAAAGGTCATCGATGCATTGAGCATCGCTGTTTTATTTTATTTACATCGATGTTTTGCAAAACCCATCAAAAATGGGAAATCAGAGTATAATGCTTTTGTGAAAATTTATGTAACAGGCAGAAAAAATCATCGCAGACCCCATAAAGTATATTAATTCTTGAAGAAATATGTATATACTCTTGGACGACGAGCTGAGTCTATATAGCCCTGTCCGTCTGTCCATCCGACTGTCCGTCCGTCCGTCTGTATGAGTGCGTTGATCTCAGAAGATGAAAAAACTAGAGAGCTGAAATTTGACATGCATTTACTGTGTATATACATATATACACATGATGAATATGAATATTTTGTAATTTACAGATTTTTTATACCACGCCCCTTCGCCACCAATTTGTAAAAATCACATTTTAAGTACTAGAGACTTGTGCCTTAGAATGTGCATACATTTTAACGTAAGGATTACGTTTCAATTAGATTGTCAGTCTACAAAAGAATTATTCAACAAATAAATTATTATAATATTGCCCACACTGCAATGCAGCCCGCGCTCTGCTAACTGCGCAGTAAGCAGCGACTGCGCTTGGGCTGCGCTGC